GTACAGGGCATCGTCTGCTGACCATTGCCGCGGGTATATCGTGGGAGTCCCAGGTACCCGGTTCAAGCTTTAGTTGGCGGCGGTGGCTCTTCTTGACCTTCTACCCCCTGAGTAGTTAGTGTGAATAAGGGCGTCTATGTGATGTTTTGCAGTACCTGTTGTGGACATTTAGTGCATCCTGTTCCCTTAACTTGTTGAGGACACCCTGTCTTGTCTCAAAAGTTACCCTTTTTGAAGTACTAGTCTTCACAACATAAAGGGCACCATTACGGAGCATGAGATTTGATCAAATTATTCGCAGTTCTACTTGTCCAACGCCCCCGGCTGGGTGAGGGATAGAGGATGACACACACACACACACACACACACACACACACAAAAAGGCGAACTAAGAGGTGGACGCCTAAGCTTTTTCACATTTATATCGCTGTGAAGCAACTGTAAACTCTAGAGGGAATTTATATCTGTAACTGTAACCAGCTCTTTTTTTTCTGCTAACCTGATTAAAATGTTTACATTTAATTATCTTAAAGATAAATCAAACCTTTGTAGGGGTAAGAGATGGGACCATCATCATCATCATTCGGCGAAATGTCCTTCGGCGAAATGTCCTTCGGCGAAATGTCCTTCGGCGAAATTTTCTTCGGTGAAATGTCCTTCGGTGAAATATTCTTCGGCGAAACATATTTCATGTAAGTTTAAGTGTAATATCCTATGTTACGATGTGTCAACTATAGCTCAATATTAAACGAGAGATCCCATGTAACATTTTTGGATGTATGAAACTTCTGTATACGATGCTTAAGACTTGTAGAATGTTTTAGAACCTCGATAAAACTTGCAATGTTACTTGAGATTTTATGCGACGGTTGAAATTCAGAATTGTTTTATGTGTTTCGTCATCCTTTCGGAATGTTCATCAAAACGGATCACAAACAACTTGTCGATCAATATAATTAGGGGGAAATGGTGTAAAACTCGCCGGCAGGTTTTTACGCGCCACCACGATATTTCACGTAAAAAAACATTTTGTTAATTTTTTTTGTATCAACAGGTAATGTTTAAGGTTTTAATGCGTTTCTAAATCAAAAATAACCAGTTTTGCTCCATAAAAAATATTAAAATATAAGTTTATTTCAGTGCGTTTCGGTGTTACATTTGTTTGTTGGCTTGATAGAGTTTTGATATGCAAACATTAGAGCATTCTCAACATATTATAAACAAGTCAACTTGCTGCGTCGCCAGTTTCATGGTCTGTGAGAAAACAGAATGATTTTCGATCACATATTAACGATTTTGATGAATAAAACCCTGAGCTGAGCATGGGGTATTAGGCACCTCTACAGCCGTTGGAAATTTAATTGCTGTTATGAGTTACGTAAAACAGGAGTTATGAACAGTAGAACCTTGTTCACAACTGCAGAATGCTTCTACGTTAAAATTGTGGAGGATGATCATTAAGGCACTTCATAAAAAAAAATGAATTTCTGATAGGCCACCTTCGGATCATAAACCTGCAAATGAGCCTGTGCAAAAATTGGTAAAGATTTATGAAGCTTTAGAGGTCGCGCCAATGATAATTACAGTGAATAGGGCAAGTGGAAACACAAAAATATTTATCAGCTTGAAGATTAGGTCCAGTACTATAAAGTTATGAATGTTTGGTTTGTCGCCTTTCACCCATATTTGAGTACGGTAGCCTTATATGTTCATTTTTTTTTTTAATATTTAATATTTATTTTCAGTTTTTGATATATTTTTTTTCAGAAATACTTTTTTTTTAAATACAATCTTGTATGGAATGATTGAAACATTGAAAACACATGTTTTTGATAAAGACAGTAATCATTTCTTGCAATGTTTAAGAATAATAAGCTTTATTTTATGAGTTCATAAGGGAGAATGGGGCTAATGGAAATACAAAGTCAACTACTTTTCTTGAAGCTTAGATCAAGAGCTATAAAGCTGTAAAGGATTCTCACGGTAGTTCCAGTGCGCTGCCTTAAAACAAATTCCGCGTCCAGAGTCTAACTAGACCAAGCCTTACAGTACCCTCACAATTATGGATCTTTTTAAGGTGATTCCCCAAAAAGTCCACAAATGACCATCCTATCACTTCAAGCGTTCCAGAGCACAAATCTCGGACATTTTTGCAACAATGCTCATGAAATCGGATTTGTGAGAACCGGGGCCTCCCTTAGCTCAGTTGGTAAAGGCGCAGCTACAAAGCAAGACCATGCTGGAGGTGGCTGGGTTCAATTCCCGGTCCGGTCTAGGAATTATTCAGGTTGGAAAATTTCTCGACTTCCCTGGGCATAGGAGTATGATTGGACTTGCCACACAATCATACCAATGCAAAAATGGTACAGGCATCGAAAGCTGTCAATTAATAACTGTGGAAGTGCATCTAGAACACTAAGTTGAGAGCACGCATTAAGCTAATATGCGATATGCAATAAGCTTGAAATGCGAAGAAGAAGAAGAGAACCGATATTTGTGCTCTAGAAATTTCAATGTGATGATGCGATCAATCAGAAACAAGGCTCCCTCAGCGATTGACCTTAACAGAATTTCTTCATTTCTGAAGAAAAAAAAAATTTTTTTGATTGTATTGTACTAACTCAGTTTGATGTGTAATTCAAATCCATCACAATCCATATCATTTGAAGTATTTCAGAAAATCTTTATCAAATTACTTTATGTCGATAAGTGATTCTTATGTAAAAAGGATGAGGAACACGATGGTGCAGTATGAATCGAAATCTAAACATCAGGCATAACATTTGATAACGGCACAAAAGCATTTGTAAACAAACTTTTTAAGGCCCTTTACACGCGATCCAAAGTACGCCCACGCAAACCAATACCACTTTCGGAAAGGTGACAGTAGCCCCTATCCGATGATGTTGTTGGTTTGCAAGCGTACTTCGATTCACGTGTAAAAGGCCTTAAAAAGTTTGTTTACAAAAGGTTTTGTGCCGTTATCAAATGTTATGCCTGATATACTAATTCTAAGAAATTTAAATTTTCAATTTTTATTCGCATATATAAAATATTTGGCAGCACTGTACAAAAATGATAAATTCATATTCCAATTTTCTCATAAAAACATTCTACAATGTTATTTGTAGCTATATTTGTTCCGAAGATATTGATAAAAGAAAGTAGTGCTTTCTTGAAAATCACAAACAATATAAAACGCTCCACTGGACCGAGGAGTGCATCGATCGTCCCAAAAATTTGGATTATTAAAAGTTAGACTAAAATAAACATCTCCTCCAAATTTGGTCCAAATCAAAAGAGGTCGGTGTCACGCCAATAAGACAATTGGCGCGCAATGACCCATTTTAATATATAAAATAAAAATTAGAAGCAAATAACATGATAGGTTTCAAACTATTTTTTCAAAAGTTAATCCACTATACAACACCTTCTATAATGCACTACATAGAATTAATTTTTAATTTTGTAAAACAAACGGCTAAAACTATCCGTAATCTAATTTTGAATTTAAGTTGGCATGAATATGATTCAAATTATTAAAAGATTTCTGGGTGACATGAGCCAAAAAGTCGTTTTTCACTAAAATGTTATGATAAGCAAATGAGTTGATTTTTTTCACTGAACAATTGGGGAATACAGAAAGTAATTTAAGAAAGCGAGCAAACATCTGAGAACTTTCCGAAAAAAACAACTATTAAAATGTCGGTTTAATGACCCATTCGCCCTGGCGATCATTAGGCCTAATGAACCATCAGTAGGTAATTTTACGCTCGTTAAAATGCAAATAGATGCAGCAAACGTTTTTCAGAAGAAAATCATAACCTCATCCACATCAAAATAAATGAAAGTTACGTGAAGTAATCCCAATCAGTTATGATAGCCGTTATGCCATAAATCGACAATTTTCGCGATTGTGAAAATTGTGCGGAAGTTTGCGTTGCACCAACAACAACAATATCGAAGCAACATCCAAGTATGTGATAAGCAGTCCCATTATTGCCAACCCGAAACCTATCAAATTGACTTTTCTTGATTGGCTGTATTCATCGTGAACGAAACCATCTTCATTTTCCAGCCTGAATCGCACCCATATTGCATCACTTCTGAATCAACCCAAATCACCATAGATTGGATTGCTAACATCCAACCAGTTAACGCATTATTCGCGCAATTGGAAGACGTCGGCCGGCATGCGCTGAATTCGATGGTCTATGGCGTTGTTTGATCGCGACTGGCGGCGGCGGCGTCATCCTATACGAATGAAGTCATCCACAAAGGCGCGTTCAATTTGTTCGATTACCCTTAAATTGGATGGATTCTTCACGGAGTCGCATCACTGAACGATGACTTAGTTGGTTGATTTTTTTCCTGACTCTCTCTCTGAATTTCTCAAAGCCGTTATTTCTACATAGCTCTATCACTCTTTCTCTCTCGCTCGATGGGCTGGCGCTAATTCAATCAATCTCAATTGCTTTCGGCGTCGGCAGTGGCGGTGAAATATGCTACTACACTTCATCCATGTGGACGCAATTCTTCTCTAACGTCAGCAAGAGGGCTGCGATGGAACAATTAGAATAATGTAAAAGTCGGCTCGGTACACTAATTACATATGTTCGTATGTACATCCTCGTGATTCGTGTGTATGCGCTCTTTTTCATCTTCTCAATAAGTGAACTCAATTTGCCTTTTATCGTACAAGTGTATCTCGCGTAAATGTTTCGTTTACCACATATATGCAGTACGAAGGTAGACGGTGCAGCCATCCAACGAGTGTTTCTTTCTTTCATTGAGGCGGTACATCACATTTGCATCTTAGTCGAGGAAGGGAACTGAAAATTGATTCGAGTGGGTTGCTCCACTCTGAGATGGTCTTGAAAGGAACCGTAATGCGCTTGATGAAAATCAACGGGAAACCGAGTATGAGGGGTAAGAGAATGGTAAATTGAGACAGTCTTTCGATTTGGTTTTAACACTGAACCAATTAAGAACACATCTACTTACAAAACCTTAAATTGTCTTTATTCTCACTCATAGATTGCAATAATATCCACTACGCTAAAATACGTTCCAATGCCTAGCACTATGAAGCCAAACATCAGAACAAGTACATTTTTCACCAGTATCCACTTCATTCTTCCGAATTCATTTGGCCACCGGAAGACTGTATCGATAACGGCCGGAATGATTACAACCAACGAGCCACCACTGATCGATCCAGTCAGCCCAACGAATGGTTCGAGTTCCGGAATACCGGCAGCGACTGCCGTCAGCACCATCAGCATCCCAAAACGGAACAAGATTTGTGCCATATTATGACGTTTCGGAGGGATTTTATGCTGAATCTTCCGCCAAACGATATCCGTCGGAACGTAATTAATCAGCCCAGTGGATAGGATGATTGCTGTGATCGTTAACAATTGGGTTGATTTTGCTAGCCTGTTGTAAAATGGATTATTTTTTATGTTGAATACAGCGAGAAAATTGAAGATCTTACGCATCATTGGCAGGTAGATTCAGAGTAACCGAACCTTTGGTTTCCTCACCGTACTGTGCATAACCCAGGGCACCTACCATCGTGTAGAGTAGGGTAATGAAACAGACGGCTACATTCACAACTCCGCAATGACCTAGCATGTGTTCAGGACGTTTCATTTTGTTTTCATTTGGAAGAACATACTCAATTCCTAAAAGAGCGTACATGACAGTTCTGAAACGATAAAACTGGCAGGAAATTCGGGAAATTGAGTTCAAGTTGTCGTTACCCTATGAAGGCTGGCAACGTGTTCCAAGCGGGCCACATATTTTTACTCTCAAGTGAGATTGGCTCTTTCAGAATGAAAAACATGCTGATACCAATCGCTGTGATGATCAATGCGTTAGCAATAGCCGAGAATGGTACGAGGTATTTCAGTTCACGTATTTGTGTTGTGAAAATCAATGGAATAGCCGCAAGCATGATAAACACACGAGTGTCCCAGTCGATTTGGTAATCATGTTGAACTATGTCGCGTAACGTGCTCCCGATGAAGACCAAATACACACATATCAGCAGGTAACTATTCAAAAGTAGCTGGGCATCCGTGCAGCGTCTAAAAAGAAAAGAAATCTAAAAAAATTGGATTTTATCGGTAGATTTTGTCAGAAACCTGGCCAAAATAGCATATTTCTTAACGCCTCGTGGACCATAGGTGAAGACATTTTCCACTGTTTCTGTGTATCCCAGCATAGGAACGAAACTTCTTCGGCAAGCTTTTCGGGATGTGCTAACCTGCAACGATATGGCGCCAATTCGAACCACACTCCAGAATACGATCTTCTGTTAACTCAAGGGTGTGTGATGCATATCATTTGATCCTTAATTGCGATACAAAACAATCAATTTCAACGCTTCAAGAGAATTTTCCCATGTTTATAGTTCAACTAACACAGATAGTTATGCTGTTTTGTACTCGCTGTGCTCGGTTCTAAGGAGAGCTCAAAGGGAATTCATAGAAAAATTTCATGGAATTATTCATAGAGAATTGAACTCTGAGAAAAATTCCAAGCGCGTTCCAAGAAAGTTTCTATGGAATTCTGAGGAGAATTACAAGGATTTTCGGGGAGCATTACTCAAAAATTTCTGTGTATGGCTTTCTCAGTTTTCTGAGAGTCTGAAAAGAGTACCCTGAAGTTAACTTTATCAAGAAATCCACCCGAGACCCAGTTTTTTTCCTTGATTTATTTTCCGACGATCTTATTTTCCGTGCTGAGCACCAAAGCTACCGATGCCAGGGAAGCAGCTCCCAAATTTGGACCCTACCTATCGACCCATCAACTCATGGACCGGGAGCAACAGCTTTACTTCCCTTTCGAAGGAAGGCGTGATCAGAGATGTTATGCCTCAGAACATCCCGGCGGCGCTGACTGGGATTGAACCCAGGCCTGCTGGGGTGAGAGGTAATCACGCTTACACCTATACCACCGGCACCGCTTTGAGACCCAGTTCAACAGCAATCGAACAGTATCGAACAGTATTGAAAAGAGTACCCTGAGAAATCGTAGAATATATTAAAATTAAATATAATGGTAATGATTCTTAAATGACAATGATGACCACAAAACCTTGCTGCGAATCCGCTTGATTGCTGACTGTCACTTTCTTCAACGTTAGCTGAATATTTTCGCTAGTTGGTGCAGTTCAATAAGAATGGTACCAAAACTTGCGCTGGACTACATACGTTTAAGGTTCAGAAGTTCCCAAACCATGATGAGAAACAGAATACGATCGCAAAAAGCCGTGCCCGGAAGTTGTACGACCAGAAGTTAACGAAACCACACTGCTGCGTAATGGATGACGAGACATATGTGAAGGCGGACTTCAACCAGATTCCAGGAAACCTGTATGTGACTGCCAAGGATAACTGGGATGTTCCCGAGAACCTTCGGACACAGAAGATGTCGAAGTTCGCCAAGAAGTTCTTAATTTGGCAAGCGATTTGTACTTGCGGAAAGCGGAATACACCTTTCGTTACCAGCACCATGAATGGACAGGTGTATTTTTAAGAGTGTCTCCAAAAGATCTGAACCCCTCAAACACTCCGGAACTGCGCCCAATAGAAAAATACTTGAACTAACACCACTTTTCTGATTCACTCAATGGCGGAACTCAAATGGTAGAACCCAACATTAAATTTCTTTAACTTATTTTTGAGTATTTTTTTCTTACCATGGGATACTGGCCCAACACTGAGCTGTCAGACGAAAGCTCAAACAGAAATAATAAGAAAAAAAGTCTATTATCGAGCAAATGTTTTTGAATACATCTGAACGTATCAACTTGACCAGATCAGAAGTTTCAAGCTTAACTTCTATTGATAGGTATGACGGGAGGCAATGTATAGACCGGCAATCGGGCCAAATAGCCTGCATGCCGTATCGAACGACAACGGCCATCGATGCGTGAACTTTGCAGCCTCTCGGGGTATGGTAGTTCGAAGTACCTTTTTCCCCCGCAAGGATATCCACAAAACCACCTGGAGATCACCTGACCAACACACAGAAAACCAAATCGATCACGTTCTAATCGACGGGAAATTCTTCTCCGACATTATCAACGTCCGCACGTACCGCAGTCCGAACATAGATTCGGACCACTACCTAGTTGCAGTATGCATGCGCATAAAACTCTCAACGGTGCATAACACACGTCGAAGTCGAACGTCGCGACCCAACATTGAGCAACTACGAGACGCCGGAGTTGCCCAGGACTACGCGCAGCAGCTGGAAGTTGCACTACCCACGGAAGAGCAACTTGGCGCAGCTTCTCTTAAAGATGGCTGGAGGGACATCCGTTCAGCCATAGGTAGTACTGCTGCAGCGGCACTAGGTACTGCAATCCCGGACCGAAGAAATGACTGGTTTGACGGCGAATGCAACCTGTTAGTAGAGGAGAAGAATGCAGCACGGGCGAGAATGCTGCAACACCGCACGAGATTGAATGTGGAGCGATACAGACAAGCGCGGAACAGACAAAACTCGGTTTTCCGAAGGAAGAAGCGTCAGCAAGAAGACCGAGATCGTGAGACGATCGAAAATCTGTACCGCGTAAACGACACACGGAAGTTCTATGAGAAGCTAAATAGTTCGCGCAAAGGCTACGTGCCGCAAGCCGATATGTGCAAGGACTTGGACGATAACCTTCTCACGAACGAGTGTGAGGTGATTGAGAGGTGGAAGCAGTACTATGACGAGCACCTCAACGGTGATGCAGCAGAAAACGAAGGTGGCACGGCAACAGACCTTTGAGCACGCGCAGCGCCGCCTACAAGGTACTCTCCTAAATTCTATGCCGCCGTCTGTCACCATTTGCAAGAGAGTTCGTGGGTCAATACCAGGCGGGATTCATGGGTGCGCGCGCTACCACGGACCAAATGTTCGCGATTCGGCAGGTTCTGTAGAAATGCCACGAATACAACGTGCCCACACATCATTTGTTCATCGATTTCAAATCCGCATACGACCCAATCGATCGAGATCAGCTATGGCAGATTATGCACGAGTACGGATTTCCGGACAAACTGACGCGATTGGTCAAGGCGACGATGGATCGAGTGATGTGCGTTGTTCGAGTATCGGGGACACTCTCGAGTCCCTTTGAATCTCGATGGGGTTTCGGCAAGGTGATGGACTTTCGTGTCTGCTGTTCAACATCACGTTAGAAGGTGTGATCAGAAGAGCTGGGAAAGACACGAGTGGCACGATATTCAGGAAGTCCATCCAGCTCCTTGGCTTCGCCGATGACATTGACATTATGGCACGGAACTTTGAGATGATGGCGGAAACGTACATCAGACTGAAGGCTGAAGCTAGGCGGATTAGACTTGCCATCAACGCATCAAAGAAAAAATACATGAAAGGAAGAGGTTCTAGGGAAGACAATGTTAGCCTCCCACCCCGAGTTCAGATTGACGGTGACGAAATCGAGGTGGTCGATGAGTTCGTGTATTTGGGCTCACTGGTGACCGCCGAAAATGATACCAGCAGAGAAATTCAAAGACGCATTATGGCAGCGAATCGTGCCTACTTTGGACTCCGGAGGACGCTCCGGTCGAATAAAATTCGCCGCCGAACGAAGTTGACTGTCTACAAGACGCTGATTAGACCGGTGGTCCTCTACGGCCACGAGACCTGAACTATGCTCGTGGAGGACCAACGCGCCCTTGGTGTTTTCGAACGGAAGGTATTGCGTACCATCTACGGTGGAGTGCAGATGGATGAGGAGGCGAATGAACCACGAATTGCACCAGCTGCTGGGAGAACCATCCATCGTCCACATTGCAAAAATTGGGCGACTACGGTGGGCTGGGCACGTCGTAAGAATGCCGCACGACGACCCAGTGAAAATGGTTCTAGAAAGCGACTCAACAGGAATAAGAAGAAGAGGCGCGCAGCGGGCAAGGTGGATCGACCAAGTAGAAGGTAGACCCTTCGCAGACTACGGGGCTGGCGAACTGTGGCCATGGATCGAGTAGAATGAAGACGACTTCTTCGGACAGCAGAGGACAACAAGGCCTTAGCCTGATTGATACACCCAACCGGTGGATGTAAGATTCGCTTACAATTACGTGGGATTCATCATCAGAGGATGTAAGTGGAGACCGCATGAACCGAGGATGCGATATACCTAGCTGCGGTCCAATGCAAGAAAATTGGAGACCGAAAAATGTAGAGTGTATTAGTGAGGTAAGTTAATTATGTCGAAAAAAAAATAGGAAAAAGGTTTCCGACTGGACTCGAGCAACGAACGTTGCGATTATCAGACCTGTGCTTTCTCCACTGTTCTCTCCATGCTTCTGAATAACGATAGTCTAAAAGCAAACAAGAAGCGCTCATTTCCTCTCACACTCGACTTCGTATGCTTTTTCTGCTGGAGAGATTCGAGGCAAGGGTGTGCGTCGTTCTACCATGTTATGCATAAAAATCAAGGCAAATGCTTGCTTGTGTAGGTGAAAGCACAGACAGAACACGAAATAAAAGATTTTCAACTTCGACATTGTTTCAGTTTTATTGGTACACCGGCAGTGTTTAGTGTTTAGGAAAAGTGATTTAATTTGAAAAACTGATCTTTGAACCGTTATAATTTATTTAAAGACATTCTAGCACCGTACATTCTTTAGCAAGTTGTTTGGCACTTTCTGGACTATACTTTTACATTGTTAGTTGCATGGTTCAAGCAAAATTGTGGTCCTAGGAATAAAGATGCAATAAAGTAGGTTTCCTATACTAATATGTATACAAATTTCAAACGTAATACGGAACGCCGGGTTTCAATCAAACGTCCCTAAAATTTTGCACAGTTGTTTGGGACCCTAAATGGAACCAAAAAAAAACATTATTCTGAAAAATATCATGATGACACATCCTAATGCCCATCTCTACAATTTAACACTATTGGGTCATTCGTGATCTGTTCGGGGATGAGATTTGAACTCGTGGCTTTGGCGGGAGAGGTATGGATGTTAACTACTACGTCAGGCCGTCTCCTATGCATCAATAAATTTTGTATAATAAATTATAATGTTTGCTTACATTGCAGTAGAAGTGCACCATTCCACATCGCAATGCCAGAGTCATTCATTAGCCATATCGTTTATGACTAATTTAACGCTGTTTGAAAAATTCCAATTTACAGGGAATTCTATAGAAATCTCAAAGGGAGTATAAAGGATGAATTAGGAATTTTGAGGAAAATCTAACTGTACGATAATTGAACAAAATCCCCAGTATTCTAAGTGGTTTTAAGCTGAGGATAATATCTACTTGGAATAAAATGGAGAATTTCATAGGAAGTTTGACGATAGTTCCAAGGGAATTCCAAGAATATTTCGTAGGCAATTCTTAATATAGTTTGACGAAATACTAATAAGAATTATAATCAAACTCTCAAGAAACTTTCGTGGAAATTTCAAGAAACCTAAAGGGAATTCTGAGAAAAAACCAAGAATTTTCGATTTCTGGAGGCATTTGAATGGCAATTTAATGAAAATGTACAAGGAATTTTAGGAGAATGCTTATTCCATTTTAGAGAATAATATTTGCACTCTTAGGTGGTTTATTTCAGAATAATCCTATTGTACACTAATTTAGCTACGTCCAGAGAGCCTGTCCATAGGGCTAGTTAATTATATTAAACATATTATTAGCAAATGGTTATGATGCACTACTGCAAAAATTCCAGGGAAAATTTAAATGAGACTTTAAATACCAACATAATTCTAAGCAAAATTCGAAGACAATTCTGAGAAGAATTCCGATACTTCTGAATGCTAAAGGGAATTCTGAGGATTATTTTCAGAGAATAAAAAAAAAATGAAAATAAATTTTATCAAATTCTCGTAAGAGTTTTCCAAGAGTTTTCTACAGTGAACTCAAGAGTTGTTATAAATCCCATTTTAGGTGATGTGTCAAGCAGATTTTCGGTCAGTGATTACTTTTTTCGTGTAAAACTCATAATAAACTTCATTATGTGACAATGTTATGTAAACCAATTTAAACTAGACATGATTTACTATATTTCCCAATTGATAGTTATGAATATAGTCTCATATAAAGCATCTATCACCTGTTTTTATTTTTGAAAATCCAGTATATATATTGTTTATATTATTCGGACAAGTAAACCTCAATTTAGTGTAATAACATTAAAGAAAATAAAAAAATGTAGTTGAAAAGACGCGGTTAACTGGTCAACTGCATGGAATTGGTCTATAGAGTTAAATTTCATAGGAATTTTAGATCGAATCATAAGATCGTTCAAGGGTTATATTGAAAGATATTTAGAGGACATCTTGTGAATCGTTACAATTTAAGATTCTGACTTTCTAAAAACTCGGAATCTAGAATTATATTTTTTTTAAGGTTTTGAAATTGTTTTTAAGACCTCAGATTTTTGAAAAATATTCAATATCCCGGACTTATATTTACAATTCCAGACTTAAATAAAATATATTTAATATATTCAATATATTCTAGATTTTATTCAATATACCGGAGCTTTTTTTTAGATTCTGAAAATGGAAATGATTTCATAATTCCGAATAACATTTAATGTTTTCATAACTCAGAAAAACATGTTTTCGGGTGGAATAAATTTCATCGAACAGGATTATATTGTGGAAGTGGTTGAACATCATGCATTCATTATGCATTTCGATAGAATGACCAATTTGGTCTAGTGGATCGGCCTAGTTTCAAATAAAAACACCCATAACCAATATAATTTAACTCGCTTCTATATAAAAACCTTGCTACGGCCATGGTTACATCTATAAATATTGATATTCAATTATATGTCGTTTTGATCAAATTTATAATGATAACCATAGAATAAGCACAAAACAAAAAGAAGAAATTATTTTCACCTGTATGTAGTAGATTTTGAGTTCTGCGCCTTTTCGACCCTTCTACTCGTTTCGAATTTCAATAAAAATGTATTTACTTAAGGACATTGAAATATACAAAATCACACACCCTTACGAGCATAAACCTACCAGCAAGTAAACACAGTGAGCATAGATGATTCCGGAAACGACAGTTCCAACGATACCGAATGCGAATCCTCCATTTCGGAAAGCCAAAGGCATGGACAAAATTCCTGTGCCTAATGTACCTTTTACCAGATGAATTAGAGTGCCTATCGTTCTATAAGAGTTAGTCAAATTTTCAGCGATCTTATTCAACTATTCACACCAATCAGTTATACTAACGTATTTGGTTTCTCAATCTTCCGGTGTTCGAAAGGATTGTACTCCTTGACTTCACTAAAATCATGTTGTTAAATTATTAAATTCTTTTCTTGCTACAAAAATGGCTTTCTCTACCAACTTTTCAGCTCCATAGTTACCAACACTGAATGATCCGCTCACTGTAAATGTCCACTTTCAACTGAATTCCTTTTCAACCACAAGGCACGCGAAGTGTCTGGTACAACGTACAATTTATTGCCAATAATTTTTCCATACCACAATATATAACATTCAATAAAAGTCGATAACTCTCGGACCACATGTGTATGCCGTAGGACAAGCTGAAATAAAATGTCCCGTCACTGAGCAATTGCAATCGATTGATTTTGCCTCTACCGGATCAATCTGGTATGATTAAGGCGGCAAATTATTTCTACAATCATCTGAGAGGACCTGGAGCACGGTGCAAAACGTGCCTTAAGTTTGATCACGACTTAGGCACCTTTTTTTGCGATAAGCTACCAGCTGACTGGCTGAAGGTGATCAACCGCAGAGCGTAACTGTTTGGCTTGGCTAAACATCCCTATCTACTGTGATAAAGTGAACGTCTCCAGCCAACTCAGGTGTTCAGTTTTCAGATAAGTGTTGATCAGTTAGTTCCTACATTGCTGGATTGGTTTATACAGTTTTAAGAGAATACATCACGGTGCAATATGATAACCGACAGAAATTTGTCCGAGGACATGACAGTTCGAGGTCAACAAACTAAGATATTATTCACTTACGGGGATGGCGACGATTACGACCCCTTCATAAACCGGCAGGTTAGAAATCCGAACTCGTAAGTTTAGTTGTATATATAATATAGCTTGCTAACTTTCTAAATATAAAACTCCTTCAAGAACCGTCGGAACCTTAATACATCTGATTAAGGGATCCCTCGGAACGGGCATCATGGCCATCCCTTTAGCGTTCAAATATGGGGGACTAATCTTCGGAGTGATAGGAACAGTTGCCATTTGTTTCCTGTACATCCATTGTGTAGAACTTCTGGTTAGGTGAGAATCGGTGTTTTGATTCGTTAAAATTTTATGGATTAACCCATCCATGCAGGTCGGAACATCGCAGAAAGCTTGCAAACGGCATCGAATCCCTACGTTGGGATATGCAGAAACAGCTGAAATCGTTTGCATCAATGGCCCTCCCCTATTAAGACGGTATTCCAATTTTGCTAGGTACCTATCAATCCAATAAAAGCAAATCAGCGGCGATCAACTAAGCTCAATTATTATCTTTCTATTCCTACAGACACTACATCGACTGGATGGTTTTGTTTCACAGTCTTCTGACGTTTTGCCTGTTTCAAATCTTCATTGCTGCTTCACTACGTGACGTCACCAACAATCAGCTGCAGATAACGTGGGGCACCGGTGTGTACATAACATTGGTTACCATTCCGATAGCTCTTATCATTCAAATACGAGTACTAAAATACTTGGTCCCCTTTTCGGCCCTATCAAATGTACTGATGATAATTGCTTTCGGTATAACTCTGTATTTCCTGCTGAGCGAACCGGTTTCGCTGGATGATCGATTCTATTGGCCGGAGTGGAATAGATTACCGTTCTTTGTAAGGTGCATGATGTCATATATTTACCATTGAGACAATGTTACAAGATCCGATGTAAATTTTTAGCACAGTTCTCTATGCAGTCCAAGGAATCAGATACGTTCTACCCATTGAGAACAAAATGAAACATCCACAACATTTTTTGGGAACTTGCGGAGCTGCTTCTCAAGCTATTGGTTTCTTATCTATTTTGTACGTTGTCACTGGATTCTTCGGGTATGCACGTTATGGCGATGACACGAAGGCCTCGGTTACATTGAATTTGCCAAGTGACAATAGGTATGTAAATAAGCCGCCCTTAGATCGCGAGCACAGTAGCAGGCATCGATAACAATAAGACAATTTCAGCTTTGCAGAGTACACACGGCTCTTGGCCGCAGTTTCAGCTCTATTCCACATGGGTCTTGGCTACTATGTTCCCATGGAGATCATATGGCGAAAAATTGAGACGAAGATACCGGAACAACGACATAATTCCGCACAAATTGCCATTCGATTTACGATGATGTTACTTTTAACCGGGATAACGATTGGTGTTCCTGATTTGCAACTGTTCGTTGGGCTTGTTGGGTCCATATGTGCGAGCAATCTGGTGGTTATTGCACCAGTTGTGCTGGACACGATGTTCAGGTGGCCAAATGACTTCGGAACATGTGGGTGGATTATTGTAAAAAATGCTTTTCTTGGCCTGTTTGGAGTCTTGCTATTGATATTCGGAACTTACTCTAGCTTAAAACGCATAGTTGCAGCGTTCAAATAGTAGTATAGTAGAATTAGTTTGTGTATGATTATGAAAGGCTGCTACATTTGTCAAACTTTCTGCCGGAACAGCAGAACTCGAAATATTAGATTTAAAAAATCCACAAGTTAATAATTTTGACACGAAACGCTTGATTCGAATTAAAGTTAAAAATATGTTCAATACTAAATATAAGCTCCAATCGCCATAAGATGCTGCACGCTGACGTCACGAACGAATGCGATGAACCCGCGTTCATTGGTTTGACAGCCAGCGGTGGTTTGTAAACATTTTGCTGTTAGTCGATTTATATGGATTTATGTTTTAAATTAAATTGAGTTAAAAATATGTTATCCGATAAAGACCATCTAAAAAATCTTTCTCTATAAAAAAAAATTTCTTAAAAAAGTTCAAACTTAAATAGATGCAGCTCCACATCCGCTTAATTTAACGCATCATAAAGCATGTGTTGGTTAAAACTCGGACACAGATAATCTGATAAGCTGTGACGTTTTAACTATTATACCTAATGACTTGAAAATTTTAAGTGAATATTGTTTAGTCTATAATTTTTTATAATTACTTTATTTGTACAGGCTCAATCGAATAAACTTTACAGAGCCGAGTTATCCTTTGCGTTATACATTATTACTGTCTTAAATTTAAAGTTAAAGGAACTGGACCGAGTACTCGCGGTTGTCTCGAGGTTAGTGGAGATTTACAAGGGAAGAAGGAGGTTTGAAATGTGGTTTACGATACAACTATTTAATTAATCCTAAAGCATGAAATTATTTCTATTCATCTTGAAAACAAACATTGAAAAAAAAACCCACACGTACAAAATACAAACTAAGCACAAGGTTAATCAAACTTACAATCTAAGGTTAATATCCTTAAAGTAAACATATATGAGTTTCATAAACTCCAGATCGCGTCTAGCCAAAATATCCCGAACTGGAACATTAGGTTGTCTACCTCGAGCCCGAAGGGAATCATAAAAATGTGATCTGACTCCACGATACTCCGCACAAGACCAAAGGATGTGATCAGCGTCCTGGTAACCTTGTCCACATTCACAGAGATTGCTGTCTCCCAACCCCACACGGAACAAGTGAGCGTTTAGACAATAGTGATTGGACATGAGACGAGACATCACGCGTATGAAGTCTCGACTCAAGTCCAACCCCTTGAACCATGCAAACTTCGACACCTTAGGGATAATTGAATGTAGCCATCGTCCCAAGCTCCCTTCACTCCATTGATGTTGCCAGCTAACGAGCGACTGCTGACGATAAATAGAGAAAAATTCACTATAGGCGATCTGTCGATCATAAATGTCGCCTTCCATAGCGCCCACCTTCGCAAGTGAATCCGCCTTCTCATTGCCCAAAATTGAGCAATGCGAAGGGACCCACGCGAAGGTGATGATGAAAGAGCGCACGGATAAAGTACTAAGCAGTTCTCGTATTTTCAAGAGAAAATACGAGAAGTGCTTTACCGGCCTAATGGAACGGATAGCCTCGACAGAACTGAGACTATCCGTAAAAATAAAGTAGTGGTCTGGAAGAAGTGAAGCAATAGTTTCCAAAGTGTAGTGAATTGCTGCCAGTTCAGCCACATACACAGAACAAGGAGCTTCAAGTTTTCGAGAGGCGCTATGAAATTCATTAAATACACCAAAACCAGCGGACTCCTCTATTAGAGATCCATCTGTGAAAAACGTTCTTGCAGAATCAACATGGCCAAACTTTGCAGCGTATAATGACGGAGCAATCATAGAACGATGATGCTCTGGAATCCCGCGGATTTCCTGCGTCATAGATAAATCAAAATTCACTGAATTGCCGAAATCGGAGAATATTACACGATTGGGAATATTTCTTGAAGGGCTGACATCCTGTGTTAAATATAGGTAGTACAAAGTCATAAAACATGTTTGAGGATTTAGCTCCAGAAGCTTCTCAAAATTTTCGATCACCAGTGGGTTCATTACTTCGCAACGGGTGAGGAGCCTAAGAGATAACTCTGAAAAACGGACGGATAGTGGCAACATGCCCGCCAGCACTTCGAGACTCATAGTATGAGTCGAGTGCATGCATCCTAACGCGATACGAAGACAACGATACTGGATCCGTTCCAGCTTGATGATGTGCGTTTTAGCTGCCGACTGGAAGCAAAAACTACCGTATTCTAAAACCGATAAAATCGTTGTCCGGTACAACGTCAGAAGATCTTGTGGATGGGCTCCCCACCACGTTCCGGTAATTGATCGAAGGAAATTGATCCTTAGTTGGCATTTTCGTCTCAGATACTCAATGTGGGATCTCCAGGTGCATTTGGAATCGAACCAGACCCCGAGATATTTAAAAGACATGGAATGAGTGATCGGTTTACCCAAAAGTTGAAGCTTCGGTTGTGCTGGGCTATGCTTCCTAGAAAAAACGACCAACTCAGTTTTCTCCGTGGAGAATTCGATACCTAGCTGAATAGCCCAAGTAGACAAATTGTCCAAGGTATCCTGTAAGGGTCCTTGCAGGTCAACCTCTTTTGGCCCTGTGATAGACACTACGCCATCATCTGCAAGTTGTCTCAACGTGCAATTGTCACTAAGACAGACATCAATTTCTCTAACGTAGAAATTGTACAAAAGGGGGCTTAAACATGAGCCTTGGGGGAGACCCATGTAGCTAAATCGAAAAGCTGTAGAGTTTCCATGAGAAAAGCTCATATGTTTTTCTGACAGCAAATTGTACAAAAAATTATTCATTAATGGAGACAATCCACAAGCGTAGAGTTTCTCTGAAAAAACTTCAACGGATACTGAATCAAAAGCCCCCTTGATATCCAAGAACACAGAAGCCATTTGCTCTTTCTTAGCAAAAGCTAACTGAATTTCCGAGGAAAGCAACGCGAGACAGTCGTTCGTTCCCTTACCCCTACGGAAACCAAATTGAGTATCTGAAAGAAGGTGGTTCGTCTCAACCCATTTGTCGAGGCGAAAAAGGATCATTTTCTCCATCAATTTCCGAATACACGACAGCATCGCGATGGGCCGATACGAATTGTGATCCGACGCGGGTTTATCAGGCTTTTTAATGGCTATCACCCTCACTCGTCTCCAATCGTCGGGAACAATATTGAGCTCCAAGAACTGATTGTACAAGTTCAACATGCGCCTCTTAGCGACGTCTGGGAGGTTTTTCAGCAAGTTGAACCTGATTCTATCAGATCCCGGGGCAGAGTTGCCACACGAAAGGAGAGCGAGTGAAAGTTCCACCATTGAAAAAGGCTGACTGATTTCGTCTACCGAATTCGCGGTTTCGCGAGGAATCAACTGCGACGGCACGGAATCCGGACACACTTTTCGCGCGAATTTAAGAATCCATTGATCCGAGCATTCATCGCTTTCGTTGTTAGTAGACCGGTTACGCATTCTTCGCGCCGTACTCCAAAGCGTATTCATAGACGTTTCGCGCGACAATCCGTCTACAAACTGCCGCCAGTAACCCCGTTTTTTGGCCTTGATGAGGCTCTTGAGTTCGCGTTCAAGAGATGTGTATGCGTCGAAATGCTCGCGTGTTCCGCGTTTCCGAAAAAGTTTAAACGCGTCGGACTTTTTACGGTAAACCTCCGTGCATTGTTGATCCCACCAGAGCGATGGTGTTTTCTTACGGATTGACGATCGCGGCACCGGTCGTGTTTGAGCTTGAAGTGCGCTGTCGACGATGAGATTAGAGAGGAAATTATATTCCTCCAACGGCGGAAGCTCTTCCACTGACGATACTGTATCGCCTATCGCGGATTTTAACTTAGTCCAATCGATGTTACGGGTTACATCATACACGACGTTAACGGATTCTGACGAGTTGAACCCACTGGCAATCGAAATTTTGATCGGCAGATGATCACTACCGTGCGGATCCTGGATTACATGCCAAGTGCAATCCAACGATAGTGAATTGGAGCAAAAGGTGAGGTCTAATCTGCTACCATTCGAGGATGGACCAGCCAAACGTGTTACTTCTCCATTGTTAAGGATTGTCATGTTGAAGTTGTCGCAGAGATCATAAATCAAAGTAGAACGGTTATCATCGTACAGCTCCCCCCAGCCTGTACCGTGGGAGTTAAAATCTCCCATGATCAACCATGGAGCGGGAAGTACCGCACATATGTCGAAAAGTTGTTTGCGATTAACAGAGACTCTAGGAGCAATATATACAGAAGCAATACAAAGGCTCTTACCTTTAATGGTAGCCTGACATGCGACAACTTCAATACCGGGGAATTCGGGAAGATTCACTCTATAGAAGGAATGGCACTTTTTGATCCCCAAAAGTACCCCTCCTCCACGTGAATCCTCACGATCCAATCGAATAATGTTAAAATCAAAAAAAGGGAGATCAATTTCTGAAGAGAGCCATGTTTCACAGAGGGCAAATGCATCGCAATTATTGTTATGGACTAAATACTTGAACGAATCTAATTTCGGGATAAGACTTCGACAATTCCACTGTAGAACAGTGATCAAATCCCCGACCTCGTTTGGAAAATTATCCATCGAAGGAGATGATAGCTGCAAGAAGGGGCCATTTTGAAGTCAATTGCTTCAAGAAGGATTTCACAGTGGGAAGCAATGTGAGGACAATGCTTTTCAGAGGATCAGAAATGTTGAGGTATTTGAGAATACCGTCCACAATGTCATCAAATGAGAACAGCCCCGATGAAGAAGGGGTTTCTGTTCTTAAAATTGGGGCATCAGGGGTTTTGGATGTCCCCGGAAGAGGTGGAAAATCCTGGGTATAATCAGTTCTGCGGAATCCAGGAGGAGTAGAAGTCTCCTTTTTTCCACCACTCCTTGATTTGGGCAAGCTGATTTGGGGTTCTTGATCTGCAACTTTCCGCGAACGGATGCGTTTTCGTTTCCGGGCAGAACCTTCCGGAAAACTGAAAGAAACTCCCTCCTCAGCCAAGTCAGAGCCAGACTCGTCATCTGACAAAAGAGCGAAGGGATTTGTTTCGTTGGTCGATGGCTTGGCTGTCTTAAGCATTTCTGCAAAAGACCGCCTGGAACGTTCCTTAAGGGAGCGTTTCATTTTGTCCCCGAGCTGTTTGTACGCCGGGCACGACGAGAGAGCATGAGGAGGAGTTCCATTGCAGTACACGCATTTTGGTGCAGTAGCTGCGCAGGCGCCATCCTCATGCTTCTCCCCGCATGTGGAGCAGCGTGCCTTGTTGCCGCAGTGGGAGGCCGTATGTCCCAACCGCTTACAATTCTGGCAGTTCATGACCCGAGGTACAAACAACCGCACAGGAAGACGAAGTTTTCCCAGCTCGATGTATTGAGGAAGGGCAGATCCAGAAAAGGTCACCCGAAACGAGTCTGTGGGGGTAAAACTCTTTTTACCCTCGCTGAGCGATACTGACTTCATTCTATGAACGGCCAGTATCTTTACCGGAGAAAGCAAGGGGTTCTTGAATCGGCCAACCGCTTGCTTCTCCAGTATCTCGGGGTTCAGGCTCGCCTCAGTGACCACGCCTTCGATCTCCACATCAGAAGCTGGAATGTACACCCTATATTCCAGTGTGAAAAACTGGGAAACAGCAATTTCATTGGCCTGTTTCAGGTTAGCGACGGTCACACGAAGTTTGTTGTGCCTAACCTTCGTTATTTCGGTCACGGCAGAGAATCGCTTTGTCAGATCATCAGATATCTGAACAACATTCAAGGGTTTGTTTTTGGGCTGAAAATAGACAACCCATGGGCCAGTCGAGTCATTCGGGTAGGCCCGCAATCTGGTGCTTTTCTCATCCTGCCCATTGACAGACTGAGACGACGAACCAGGGATGACATCATCATTATTCTGAGATGAATGGTCATCCATGTCGTCTTCTGACAAAACATCCATTTTGTTCAACTAGTGGGAGCGCAAAAGGCTCTCCCACTGAACGCACAGACACAATACACAGAAAACACTACAAACACAGAAATACAAAATGAAAATTTAACTAATGGAGGAGGAAAAGAAACAAAAAAAACAAAAACTTATCTGATAATTCTATACTTCTACCACCGAGCGTTATATGTGTAGGCGTTTACACAGATGGCTGGAAGAGACGCGCTGCGTGGATGACCTTCGCTGTGGTGCACTTGATCGAGGCTCGGTACTCAGCGCACACAGGCGCACGATGATTGATGAACGATGTAGATGTAGAAACGGGTGCTCACACTCGATGATGATGATACGTAAGCGGGTATGCGTGAGCGCGTATGCGTGACCACGCAACGATGATGCCCAAATTGGTTTGCGAATTACCAATAGCACGGATTAATCGTTCCGAAAATGACACTTTCTACTACAAAAAAACTCACTTTTCGATCAATTTACCGGGAACTATGCCAGGAGTCACTTAGTGAGAAAAAACTGATAATTTATATCAAGCGAATACCGAGAAAACTTCCAAAACAACGGAGCGCGAAACAAGTCGACCGTACTTCTTGCTAGGACGCAGTGAGATGTTTAGTCTATAATGTACACATGTAATTTTTATATGAAGGTGCTATGAGGTGCATTATTTCGAGTTACAGTCAAGCTATGAACATGCTCTCTCAAACATTGTGCACAGTCTCAAATTTGAAATCAGTGATTAAGAAAAAAGCACTATCGGCATTGTTGGTATAGGCCCACGAAACCAAAAAAAAAAAGTTAAAAGTCTAACACTGCTTCTTGACGTCAAAATCAGCCTACGGATTCCAAACACGGCCTAACGGATTGAAACGCCATTGAAACGCCAATGAATTCACTTCGGTCTATCGGATAAAGATTGATTGGGTCGGAGCGCTTCATTTGTATTTCAGAATATTGGGTGCAAACATTCATATCACGCGTTATTATTGACTTTGTTCGGTAGCATTTGAACTAAAGTTTCGTACCAAACGTATAATTTACCTGTTAACGCCGAAATCATGGATTTATTTGAGGTTTTCTGCTTGATAGGCCCAAAAATGGGCGCTTAGGCTGAAGTAGTTCTCTACCCTATTGTGTGAAGTTGAAAATTGTCTTAAGCTGGGTTTAGACAGGGCAAGTCAATTGATCAAGTCAGTTGAATTCAACTGACTTGAACGCGAATTGAACGTTGCCATTCAACAGACTTGATCAACTCACTTGAATTGAAAAAAGTTGAACCATGCTCAACTTTTCAAACCAATTGAATTCAACTGAGTTGATCGTTTGACTTGCCTAATCTAAACCCAGCTTTAGGGGTAGAGCGGTTTGCGCTCGCCCTAGTACGGCAAAATGGACATTTTATCGGAAGATAACATGGACATTTCATCGGAAGGCGACCATACTTTGCCGCCCGATAAGATGGGTCGAAAACGTACGTCATCTCAAAAGGAAGATGAAACGATCCCTGGTTCGTCGTCTCAGTTTGGCGATGGATAGGCGCAGAAAAGCTCTCGATCGCGGAATACTCAACTGGCCCATGGGTTGTCTACTTTCAACCCAAAAAGAAACCTTTAAATGTTATGCAAATCAGTAATGATCTGACAAAGCGGTTCTCGACCGTGACCGAAATCTCGAAGGTTAGTTTAGGTTTCAGTTTTCCGGAAGGAAACGAAAACGCATCCGTTCGCAGATCAGGAACCCCAAATCAGCTTGCCCAAATCAAGGAGTGCTGGAAAAAAGGAAACTTCTACTCCTTCTGGATTCCGCAGAACTGACTATACCCAGGATTGTCCACCTCTCCTGTGGACTTCCAAAACCCCTGATGTCCCATTTTTAAGAACAGAAGCCCCTTCTTCATCTGGGTTGTTCTCATTTGATAAAATTGAATTGAAGCAATTTACATTGAAGTGACCCCTCATTACAGCAATCATTTCCTTCGATGGATAATTTTCCAAACGAGGTCGGGGATTTTATCACTGTTCTACAGTTGAATTTTCGAAGTCTCATTCCTAAATTAGATCCTTTTAAGTTTTTAGTTCACAAAAATGATTGTGATGCATTTGCTCTTTGTGAAACTTGGCTCTCGTTAGATATCGATCTTCTTTTTTATGATTTTAACATTATTCGACTGGATCGTGAGGATTCGCATCAAAGAGGGGTACTTTTGGGGATCAAAAAGTGCCATTCCTTCTATAGAGTGAATCTTCAACAATTTCTAGGTATTGAAGTTGTCGCCTGTCAGGCTTATGTGTATATTCCTCCACGAGTTTCAATTAACAAAAACAACTTCGTATAATCACAACATAACAATCACACCCGTGTTCAATCACAACGGTTTATTTTAATATATGTTGGATCCCAAACTACTTACGAGCTTCCCTTAATCATATGGTGGTGCAACTTACCTGAAAATAAACATAAATAAAAGTACATTAGTAAAGAGAGCATACAAATATATGAAGCAATTTCAAATTAACATAAACCATCAACAAAAATCTAACGACCAAAGACTGAGTATATTCAACTGAATTGATTGATTTAAGATTCTAGCTCAGCAGAATTATTTCAGTATCAAATAAACTTCCTTTTCTTGCTCCAGTTTGGGACCAAAGGCTTTACTTTCCGTAAAATACAAGCTTCGACCAGACATTTTTAGCCTCATAAAATCGCAACAAACTGAGATTGAACCCACAACCACCGGTACCGATTTATGCTCAAGTAGTCTAGTTCAAATCAAAAGCGTTTACTCTTGATTTCCTGCCTGGTAGGGGAAATGGCTCTAATGTTGGCCTATGGATCTAAGATTGGGCCCATCGCTAAAAGTCTGCTATTTATCAATTTTATCTAAATGAACGCGTCATTGGAACGGTACTAATGGATAGTTTTGGTCGCTGTTGAAAATTTAGTCGATTGCTGAACTTATGTATGGGCCCAAATTAGGGGTAGTTAGGCCGACATTACATCCATTTCCCCTATTATATAAAAATTATTTTTCTCGTCCTATACCAACAGCAAATAGAAATCCACTACGTCTCCCAAATATGTGGACAATAGTAGCTGATTTAAAAAATATATATCCGTCGTGCCACACTGTGACAACCGTCAGGCACCGTATCGACCGGGAACGTACCGTTCATCCGCCGCCGAGAAACCCCACCCGCTACAGAATCCCGTCATCGCTGGTAAGCACTGCACACACGCATACTACAGACACCGACACCGTGAGTAATAAACGAGTAGGTGTTTTGTCCTTCTGATCAGTGTCGACAAGCCAGGAGCCAACCTTGAAGCTCTAGGGTTTCGTGCTCGAGCCAGCCAACAAAAGAGGTGAGTGTAGCCCACCCCACACGATCTCCGTGGCGGCTAGACCAGAGATCAGGAGAATCCCTTCAAACTAGCCCATCTGGCTAGCCATTGACAACTAGGATCTCTCAATAGTCTAGTTCAGCGTTTCTCAATCTATGGGTCGGGTGCCACTAGTGGTGTGCTGTAGTGGTAAGCGTGATTGCCTCTCACCCCAAAAGGCATGGGTTCAATCCCAGTCGGCACCACCGGTATTTTCTGAGGCATAAAATCTCTGATCACGCCGTCCTTTGAAAGGGAAGTTGGTCCCCGGTCCATGAGTTGATGGGTCGATAGGTAGGGTCCAGGTGTGGAAGCTGTCTTCCTGGCATCGGTAGCATAGATAATCAGTACGGAAAACAAGATCGACGGAAAACAAACCAAAGAAAAAAAGAAAACGGCTTAAAATTTTAATTATTAAAAGATCAAGTTCAGTTTGCTCTCAGCTTTTGGTGATACCGACACCGGCAGTTGTATCCAGAACGTACGCGATCACTTTAAATCGACATAAGCTATTGTATCGGTGTGCTTTGTTCATTGCCTACAGTTTGTTATTTAAATCCCTGGATGGTTTTCATTTTTGCTCGTTTTCTTTTGTCCAGATTCCTAGACGCCTGGGTTTCAGTACGTATGTGAGTGTTGAATTAAAGAATGCATTTTAATGCTATTTGCCCAGTGGGACCAGAAGACCCACCGGCGGCAATATTTCTAATTTTGTGAAAACGCTGGATGCAAATCCCCTTGAGATAGAAAATGGGAGGAGACGGCGGCTTTGATCAGTGAGTATCGGTCCATTTAATGTGCATTCAAAGGATGTTACTACATGTTTTCATTATTTTTCGTCAACTCACTATAGGACTCGACTAAAAAGATAAAAATAAAATAGACAGCAAAAGCCGATTGGCCATTCATTACTTTATGGTTTATAGAATATTTCACAACGTTTACCAGTCTTTATCAAAGCCTTAATTTAGCCCAATCTACTAGGTGGGGTGAAAAGTAACCTCCTTGATTTTTTTTTTATTTTTTAGCTCGATACACTTATTCCAGCGAATTTCCAACTTCATGATCCCGTCCGAAAAGTCGTTTTCCGGAAGTTCTGCAAAATACTGCTCGCGGCGTCGATGATTTCGTCACGTGAGCTGATTTTTTTATTGGTGAGCCATCTTTGGAAGTTTGGGAAGATATAATAGTCTGAGGGAACCAAATCGGGCGAATACGGTGGATGCGGAAGCAATTGGAGCCGTAAGTAATTGATTTTAGCCGTGGTTGCGATGCTCTTGTGCACCGGCGCATTGTCTTGCAAAAACAATTTTTTTTTCGCTTCATGTGAGGTTGTTTAGCAGTGAATTCGGCCTTCAATCGCTCCAATAATGCACAGTAATACTTGCTGTTGATGGTTTTTCCTTTTTCGAGGTAGTCCACGAAGAGTATGCCATGAAAACCGACGCCATAACCTTTCTGACCCATCGAGCCTCCCTCGGCCGCTTCGGAGCACTCGTGCCGGCTTCAGTCCATTGCCGGGCACTCATTCTGTTCTCTGAGGTGTAATAGTGGATCCAGGTTTCATCAACAGTTACCAAGCGACGCAAAAAGTCCGCCCGATTCCGCATCAGCAAGTCCAAAAACTCTTTCGAAGTGCTCTCGTGTTCGTGTTTTTAGTCAGGAGAGAGCTTGCGCGGCACCCAGCGGCACTCAGCGGCAGTATAACTTTTTCAAATGCTGAATCTCGCCCAAAATATGGCGTATGCGCTCAATACTAATCATTACGGTATCTGCTAGCTCGCACACCTTCACTTTCCAGTCAGCCAACACCATTTCATGTATTTTTTTTGTTGACATTGTCCTCTGTAACCGCATTGGAGGGCCTGTCGCTGCGGACTTGATCTGTAGAGGAGTTGCGGCTACCACGAAACTCTCGACACTGATATCTGACGGTGTAAATGACGGAGCATTAGCCCCATAATATTTATCCAACTTTTTTTTTGTTTCCTTCGCCGTTTTGCCTATCAAAAAATAATGTATTATGAGAGCACGAAAATCGTTTTTATCCATAATCAACATGATGCCAAACACGTCAACAACAATCAGCTGTCGATACAAAACTAAAGACAGTATCGCACTGAAATTTGGCATGTCTGCCTAAATATGAACGGACAACAAGGCACCATAACCTTTTTTGCAGTAGCTTACTTTTTACCCCACCTAGTATTTGCTCTGAACTAATGTTTTATTATTATTGTACGGCTGTATGATAAAAACGATTATAAAACAAACAATTATTTCAATTTGGTTTTGAGAGTGAGTCTGATAAAACTATTTAATCTCCATTAAATTTATCTTAAAACAGCTACGTTTGAATTAAATAAAAATAAATAATAAATAAATAAATCAATGACAAAACCATTAAAAAGCTACTCTGTCATTTCATGTTAAAATAGGCGATTTAACAAATTTATTTAAAGTTTTAGGAGGAAGAGGAGGAAGAGCTGCTCATCCGCTTCTAGTTAAGATAACGTTTACATTTTTTTTAAAATTATTGTTCCACTTCTACATGGACATTGGAATTCCTTAGCGCAATCAATTCAATACCCACAGTTCGCTCGGAGCCGATTTCTATTCCTGATACAGTTTTGCTACAGAACTTGTTTTGGCCACAATAAAAAAAATCTCCTATCGCTCATGTGCAATTGAAAAGCAAGATTTGGCTGCTTTAAATTAGTTTGTATGTAAAGCATGTCCACTAATCTAACGAAAATTATAAATTTTTGCTGAGAAAGACTCACAGCATAGTACGGAACTGTCAAATTGATAAAACCATTTTGCTTTTGAACGAGCTGTTGTAAAGCCAGTAGATCACCTATAAAGCATAATGGCCAAACTTAAATCCATTTAGCCTAGCATCTAATTATTTATTGCCACGGTAGGAGCATGCGGTCCTATTGAAGTATCGACAAAGCGTAAACAGCTTTATGTGATGATTCTTCATAAAATAGATCCGCAGTTTCTGCAGCCATGTTGAAAATATATTTTTTTGGCGAAATTTGATTGCAGCATCGAGTATTACGTTGATAATACTCGATGAATGTAGAAAACTGTCCGTGAATCTCAAACAATTTTAATCAAGAAATAAGAAACTTTGAATGAGTATATAATCAGTTTGTATTACTTCTGCATGAAGTTAACGATTTATATAGTTGAAGGTGCTAATTTCAAATAGCAGACTAAAGTGGTAATTTTTATACGATAGATGAGGATATGGAAGTATAGAGTTGATAGTCCCGCTAGAGTACAGCATTGTGAAAATTGTATATAGAGAGTAAAAAGCGAGCAAGGACAACTTTTAGAAAGGTACGAATCGGGTTGATCATCTCTCTTTACCAAACTCCCCCGTTGGAGAGGGATGGTGAGGGGTATCTCCCCGCCACCACTGGCAAATGGTTATCAGGTACATCGAATTAAGATCGTACATCATTAGAAACACCTAGAGAGGGTTTAGTATAAGAGATGAGCGGACTCTGGTTTTGAGCCAAACAAACTGTCAAAGCCAAAGTCAATCCAGAAGCACCTATCATTGCATTGTCAGCGTTGCTAGAAATCATTTAGGCATAGGTCGCCAAGGTAATTTGTTTTGAATCCGGTCTTCTATACTAGAACCTCTCTAGTAGTACCATCATGATGCTTTTTAAATTGCAAACCCCATCAACAAGCCATAATGTGTCAATTCGTCAAATGTCATTATCTTTTCAATTGGCTACCTATGGCCAAAAAATGATAACTGTTTGTTTGAAATTGCTTGTGGTTATAATGGTTACACGCTTCAGATAGACATGAGTTATCAGTTTTCACCACACCTCCGCAAAGACAGGTTGCTTTGCGAGTGTCAATTTTTGTTTATTAAAGGAAAATCATGTCTTCTGTCGAAACATTAAACAGGTTTTTACACATAATCATCAACGTTGAGTGACGTTATGAACCAATAATTTAGGATTTTTGCCTCTTTCTAGAGATGATGAGTACGACCCGTTCCAGCATCGCCAGATTGAGAAACCTAATTCGTAAGTATGACTCCCTTCGGATACGAGCGTCATTTAATTAGAATTGTTGTGTCAGATCCATCGGAACACTGATCCACATGATCAAGGCATCGCTAGGTACGGGCATAATGGCCATGCCGTTGGCATTCAAAAATGGAGGGCTTATTTTTGGGACTTTTGGAGCGATAGTTATATGCATTATCTACGCACATTGTGTTCATCTGCTGGTGAGTATTTGAGATTCTTCCACGCTAGGTGTTATTCTATCAAGTGTTGTGTATTTTACAGGTCGGTACATCTCAAAAAGCTTGCAAAAACTGTCAGGTTCCTTTGCTAGGATTCTCCGAAACAGTGCACATGGTTCTCAGTAATGGGCCAACCAAACTGAAACCGTTTACTAATTTCACTACGTAAGTGTAGGCATCTTGATGGCATATTTACTACAAAAATATAATATTTATGTATGATTCATTTTAGTGGATTCGTGGATGTGATGATCCTCTTCCAAAGCTTTCTATCGAGTTGTCTGTTTCTAGTATTTATCGCAAAATCATTCCATGACGTCTTCTACAATCAGCTGGGCATTGATTGGGACACTCGGATTTACATTCTCATTATATTAGTACCAGCCGTGATCATAACCCAAATCCGTGAATTGAAATATCTGGTGCCATTTTCGCTGATCTCCAACGCCTTCCTCGTCAGCTCGGTATGCATAACGCTGTATTTCATCTTCAGTGAACCAATCTCGCTAACTAACAGGAATTTATGGCCTCAATGGAGCACCTTACCATCATTTGTAAGGTACTGAATTTTTCTTCTAATCAAATGTTGCAATTGAAGTTGATCGTTTTATCCATTTTCAGCGCAGTGCTGTTTGCAATACAAGGAGTAAGATTTGTTCTACCAGTGGAAAACAAAATGAAACATCCTCAGTACTACCTATCAACATTTGGTGTTCTGAACTCAGCGATGGCATTTCTTATCCCACTCTACAGCGTGACAGGATTTTTTGGATATGCACAATACGGTGAAACAACAAAGGGTTCTGTTACTCTCAACCTGCCCAGCGAGAGCGCGTAAGGATGAAATTCTATGTGTTGCCAAGAAGATCAAATTGACGGATAACGTTTTGCCCGCAGATTGGCAGAATCAACCCGTTTACTGTCGGGAATTGGCATTTTGTTTACCCTAGGATTTAGCTACTACGTACCGATGGAAGTCCTATGGCATCACATTCGAGATAAGCTATCGTTAAAGTGGCACAACTGGGGACAAGTCATAATTCGTTTCACGATACTGATCATACTGGCAGCAGTGGCTATTGGAGCACCGGAGATAGAACCCTTCGTTGGGCTGGTGGGATCGTTTGGTTCGGCAACGTTGGCTATTTTGATTCCTACCACACTGGACATGATCTTCCGGTGGCCCAACGATTTTGGTAAAATGAACTGGATATTGTGGAAAAATGTTGTATTGCTTGTTTTTGGCATGTTTGTACTAGTGACAGGGACGTACTATAGCTTGATGGATATTGTAGCTATATATAACTAGAATTCTCACGTAATATGAGAAAAGGGTTTTCTTTCGATGATAGATTTACTTCATCAACTATATCTTTGCTTTCCCAAGGCAACAAAGGCTAATGTACAATTAGAAAATTTAATAATTAAATAAAAAATCACCATTCTAAATACCATAGCCTATTATAACTCAATTCTTTTTCTTTTTCTACTTTTTTGACTCAAGTTTCATACGAACGACGCGTGAATTTTGTGACTTTTAGATTTGGAACGTAAAAAACCTGGAAATATGACCCTTTACTCTAATAAAAATTCTGATAAAAGTGCTTATATGATGTGAGGTGAAAGTAGAATTCTCATGTGATTTGAGTTATCGCATGATGGATTTTGACCCTGGTCAGAAACAGTCCGTATGTGGCCAGTGTGAACCTGGGGTCTCCAAATGACTACCATTCAAACGGTTTATGTATTATCATGTGATTCAAAAACTGATAACTTCTTCGGGAGTACCCGGAACATGACCAGATGTGGCCAGTGTGGACCTGGGCCCTTCAAACTACTACCATTTAACTGTTTTTTTTTAATTCTCATGTGATTTGAGTTATTGCATGACTGGGTTTGACCAAATATATTGTAATATAATCCACTCTTTCGCTCAGCTGGCGAACCGAATTTTCAGTAATGAAAGCGCCTCTGTGGCCTAAAAGGCTACCAATGTATTTGTTTACCTTCACGAGGGGTAAACCAATTGAAAATTTGTATAATATATTAAATGTATGTATTTCAGTAAACTATTTTATTTGATAACAACAGTGACATAGCAGCGCCGGTGGTGTAGTGGTAAGCGTGATTACCTCTCACCTTTGCAGACCTGGGTTCAATCCCAGTCGGCGCCATCGGGATGTTCTGAGGCATAACATCTCTGATCATGCCTTCTTTCAGAAGGGAAGTAAAGCCGTTGGTCCCCGGTTCATGAGTTGGTGGGTCGATAGGTAGGGTCCAAGTGTGGGCGCTGCCTTCCTGGCGTCGGTAGCATTGAGCACGGAAAACAAGATCGACGGAAAAAAATCAAGGAAAAAAAAAGCAGTGACACGTCAGACAAATTTTCATGTAATATACAAAATGTAATTAATTAAATTAACTTTCCATTTATTTTTGTAAAAAGTGCTATATCCGCACCACTTGATTGAATGGTTTTTTAATATTATTTTGTCGTCAATCAGATGTAGACCATTTTTTGCTGACATTTTTTAACGCTAGTGGTGCGTGAAGCAATATTTTTCGGGTTGCCATTGCAATGTAAGGCATGAATGGACCATGTTGTTAATATGATATATTTGGTTTTCAGTGTTCACTCGGCTGTCGACAGAAGCAGGCCACTCTCGATGTGTGTCACACGATCGTCTGTTTACTCGTTGCTCATTGCTGTTCATCAGCAGTTCTTTCGGTCGATGCGTCGTCGACTTTGGAAAGCAATCGTTTCGTGATGAGTGTGTGAGTACTGACCGCGTTTTGCTCTGCCCTTCGTTGGTGATACTGCCATACAATGAAACCACTGGAAGCGGCTCCCGTTCTGATGGAGGAGGCTTATTGGATAGCGGAAAATAAAGTGTCTATTGTGTTGTACCTTTTGACTATAGTTTTAAGATATATTGTACATATAGTGAACAATAATCTTCGGCTCTGTAAAGTTAATTCGATTGAGCCTTGTCAAATAAATGAACAAACAACAAATATACTTGGTTTGACTCTATCCGAAACTGGCAACTTTCCCGCTTATATCCAAAAGACTACCATTGAACCGGTTTTTTGATGCTCATGTGGTTTGAGGTGTCGCATGATAGATTTTGACCTGTGTCAGAATTTTGCCACTTTTCCGGGGGTTCCGGAACATGGCCGGATGTCACCAGTGTGCTCCTGGGCACTATGGTGACTACTTTTGCACTGATTTTTTTAATTCTTATGTCATTTGTTGTTTCACATGATGGGTTTGATTCGTTCCAGGGTGGATTTAGTGGAATATGTTACGGCCATATCTACGAAGCCAGGTAACCGAATCGGTTATGTGGTTGCCGAGAAAAACATCGTTGTTTGAATTTCCACACACGCACACACACACACACACACACACACACACACACACACACACACACACACACACACACACACACACACACACACACACACACACACACACAGGGCTACAAATGGTGAGTTGACAACCTAGCTCTGGTTCTCACAAGTTCCTACCTCACGCCTCCCCGTGGTGTAGCCTGGGCAATGTTGTCCTTCTGACAATAGCAAAGTGAGGGGGTGCGACGCGAACACTGGCGCGGTAACCATAACACGGCGATAGAGGAAATGCTTCGTCAACCCGCAGGAGTGCCAACCGGCACATTAGGATCGACGCCAGTAAGATCCTTATTACGGCATACTGGATACGGCATGGAACTATGGACACGACACGGTACAATGGATTGGATACCACGCTACAGGGCTGACAGTCGTGCTATTCTGCTCCCTAAGTAAAGAAGGGTGACACCTTCTTGAAATGGCGAGTGGGCTAATAGTGCGGCTGCCCCCGTCCCGGTAAAACCTTGGCAGGCCTCCGGATACGTTCAAAACTCGTCACCAATTGGTGATTGGTGAGTAGTAGGCTCAGATGTAACATTCCTGACTTACGCCGATCTGGCTCTGAACACGGCCCCCATGAAGGACCGTGTCAACCCTAGCATGGCCTCCCTGCTTGCATAGATAACCATGGGATCACGATAGGAGACTACATACAACGAGTGGAGATAGCGGCCCGAAGGGGGGACCCATCAGAATGGATAAAATTGGAGAAAAAAATAAAAATGAAGAAAAAGAAAAAAACAAAAAAAATATGAAGAACGACGGCAATACGCCAGACAGTGAAAACGGAGGAGCAAACGTGTTCGCAAGGAGTGGAATATTGCAGAGATCACCAGTGTCGAACCTGGGGGTCACTGCGAGTTCCAGCAGCAGCAGTAAGTTTCAAGAAGAGCAGCCAGGCGTTGGGCTAAGCCAGATATTCACACCAATATCCAGTAGTAGCAAATCCCAAGAACTGCAGCTCGGGAGAACCAAAATGACGGAGGTCAGGAGGAAGATCGATGATCTCTATGTGTTCGTGAAGGATAAAAACAACGTACACAAAGAGATCAAGCAACTTGTGACCGGTATCAAATCCGGCATAACAGTGGCAGATCGGGAATGTCAAGAGTGGAGAAAAAGGGCCGAAAATGCCGAAAAGGCTCTGCTGGAGGCCAAGGAGAACATAAGACTGGCTCAAGCACATGAGACTCCGAAGGGACCCACAAATCCACGTCCTGAAAAGAGAGATAGGGACACGCCAGGAGATGAGGAGGAGCCCAAAAAACGCAGGGACGACGAGGAAGGCATCAAGGAGATGGGAGAAAATGGTGCGTGGCGTAAAGTCGAGAACCAGAAGGAGAGGAAGAAAAAACAGAAGGAAGATGAAGTGAGGAAGAAGGAAGAGGAAGCGAGGAGGAAGGAAGAAGCAGCGAGGAAGAAGGAAGAGAAGAAGAAGGAAGACAGGAAGAATAAGGAGAAGCCTAGGCCTCGTAGGGAGAGAAGCAAGGGTGACGCTCTGGTTGTTGAGGCGAAGGACAAAACGTCCTACGCAGCACTCCTCCGGAAAGTGAGAGAGGATCCGGAGTTGAAACAACTAGGCGAGAATGTGGTGAAAACCAGGCGAACCCAGAAAGGCGAGATGCTATTCGAGCTGAAAAGGGACCCTACGGTTAAGAGCTCAGCTTTTAAGGAGCTCGTCGAAAAATCTCTTGGCGAGACGGCGAACGTAAGAGCCTTATCCCAGGAGTCAGTGGTAGAGTGCAGGGATCTGGACGAGATCACAACAGAAGACGAGTTGAAAAGTGCGCTGAAGGTGCAATGCAACCTGGGAGACGTACCGATGGCAATTCGGTTGAGAAAGGCGTATGGTGGCACGCAAACGGCGTCGATACGACTTTCTTCGGACGCAGCTAACGAGCTGCTGAAGACTGGCCGAATCAAGGTTGGGTGGTCAGTGTGCCCGTTGAAAGCTATTCCTCGGGTATCTAAGAAAATGGAGAGATGCTACAAATGCATGGGCTTCGGTCACCAGGCGAGACACTGCAAAGGCCCTGACAGATCTGATCTGTGCAGGAAATGCGGAGAGAAGGGGCACGTTGCAAAAGACTGTACAAAGCAACCGAGGTGCATGCTCTGCAAAAAGGAGGACGGAAATGGCCATGTGACGGGAAGTTTCAGGTGCCCTGAGTTCAAGAAGGCGATGGTGGGCCAGCAATAATGAAGGTAACCCAAATAAATCTCAATCATTGTAACACAGCACAGCAACTGTTGTGGCAGTCAACAACGGAAACAAAGTGCGACGTTGCAATCATTGCAGAGCCATACCGAGTCCCTCTCGATAATGGTAACTGGGTGGCGGATAGAGCAGGAATGGCGGCCATACAAGTCATGGGCAGGTATCCCATACAACAAGTGGTGGCAAGCTCATATGAAGGTTTCGTGATCGCCAAAATCAATGGAATCTTTGTATGTAGTTGCTACGCACCCCCGAGATGGACAATTGAGCAGTTCCACCAGATGCTAGATGGGCTCACCGAAGAGCTCATTGGACGGAGACCAGTCGTCATCGCAGGAGACTTCAATGCTTGGGCAGTGGATTGGGGGAGCAGATGTACCAACGCAAGAGGGTATAGCCTGCTGGAAGCTCTGGCAAAGTTGAACGTCAGTTTGGCCAACGAAGGAACCATCAGCACCTTCCGCAAAGATGGTAGGGAATCCATTATCGACGTTACTTTCTGCAGTACGTCGCTAATGGCAAATATGAACTGGACAGTGTGCGAGGAGTACACCCATAGTGACCATCAGGCGATCCGGTACAGTATCGGCGAACGAACACCGGTGGAAATGCGGAGGACGAAAGTAAGCGAGCGGAAGTGGAAGACGAAGGCATTCAATAAGGATCTCTTCATCGAAGCTCTAAGGGTAGACAACAGCGTCCCGGGC